TAAATTATAAAAAAATGCTTATGTTTATATACATACAGTGTGTGTGTGTGTGTGTATATATATATATATATATATATATATATTGCTCAGCATAAATGAGTACATCCCAACAGATTTGTCAGAAAACCTTTACTTTACTTTCAGAATCTACATTTTCTATGGGACAATGTACTACAAAATACTCCCACAAATGCAGGCCATAGACTGCAAACCAGATTTGTTAATTTGCACACACAAAAAATTATTTTCCTATCAAATTCATTCCAGACCATGTTGCAAAAATGAATACACCCAAATTAAAGTTTTAGGAGCAAAGCTAAATTTTAGACAACAAAATCCTAATTAACAAGAATTCAACTACAGGTGAGTCTAATAATTCATTAAACAGGTGTCCAGCAGACAGTTGATTATAAAATAAATTTATTGTTTGATCACAATTTTTGTATTTTAATGAGGAGTTAGTATACCACATTTTTGTTTATTTATACAAGGAAGTTACTTAACAAGGAAAACCCCTTCCCATTTCATGCTGTCAGCAGTGGCAGCAGAGAAATGTCACAAGGCCTGAGAAAGAAAATAATTTCTTTACACAAGAAATGTGAAGGCTACAAGAAGATCAGCAAAGCTTTACTTATCAGTCAGAATACTGTAGCAAAAGTGATACAAAAATTTAACAAAGGCCGTCAATGGAAGTTAACACCTCAACAGGAGCATCTTCTGATGAGAAGGGTTGAAGAAAATCGCCATGCAAGTTTACTGCAGTTAGCTAAAAAAGTAGAAAGCCAAACTGGGGTGATTGTATGACACAATACAGTGTACACTGCAGTGGAATGACATGCATGGGTGTCATCCACGAAGGAAGCCTCTCCTAAAGCCCATGCACAAAAAAGCCCACTTAGAATTTGCCAGGGCCCATGCTGAAAAAGTAGAAGACTACTGGGACTCTGTACTCTGGAGTGATGAGACCAAGATAAAAGTTTTTGGAACTGATGGCTACAAAACTGTATGACATTGCAACGGTTAGGAGTACAAAGAAATATACATGGTGCCTACAGTGAAACATGGTGGTGGCAGTGTCCTTCTTTGGGGATGCATGAGTGCTGCTGGTGTTGGGGAGCTGCTCTTTATTGAGTATCATGAATTCACAGATGTACTGCTCTATAATGAAAGAGAAGATGCTACCATCATCCCATGCCTTTGGTCGTCGTGTACTTTTTCTATATGACAATGATCCAAAACACACATCTAAGGCCATTGTTGCATTTATGAAGAAGAACAGGGAGAAATGATTCAGTGGCCAAGTATGTCCCCCTGATCTGAACCCAATTGAACACCTATGGGGAATTCTGAAGAGAGAAGCTGAGCATCACTCCCCATCCAGCATCCAGGCTTTAAAAGAGGATCTTGAAGAATGGAAAAAGATATATGTTGCAATATGTCGCCAACTTCTTCATTCCATACCTACAAGACTTGGTGCTGTCCTTACAAATCATGGAGGTCATTCAAAATATTAGATAGTTTTGTTGTGGGGTGTATTCATTTTTGCATCAACTAATGTGAGTAAAACTAGAGATTTTGTAATCTAAGTTTTATTATTAACCTCACTTTCATGTAATGAGCTAAACAAATGTTCTAAAAAACTCAGTTTTGACAAAATGTTGGAAATTGTTCTTGTGTTCTTCGAGAGATTGAAATGTGGGCACCCGGCTGTGACAGTTTGCGGCTTGAAAGCCGGGTGCGCACTATGCGTGTGCAGAAGCGCTGCGCTTTGTGAATGGCCCCGTAGTCTTCTGTGACTTGTCACGTGTCCCAGAAGACTACGGGGGAGGGGGGGAGGACGACTTCCACTTCTGATCACCTAGGGGATCGCAGCGGAAATGGGAGCAGGTACCTGTCAAATCCCCCCCCCCACTCCCCAAAGGTGCCAATCTTTAATGGGGAGCGGGGGACAAAGGCTTAAAGTGGAACATCCCATTTTGGGTGGAGCTCCATTTTAATTAAACAACCTAAAGTTAGAAGCTGATTGGCTGCCTTGCACAGCTGCATCAGATACCAAGCACACCAGTTTTAGTCAATCTCCTCCTTAGATTCTTGCTGGTGGAGAAGCTAACCGGCCATTTGACTGAGGCCTTAGGGTTTACATGTACTTTAATTAAACTGCAGAAAACACCTATTACACAGTAGTATCTGTCAAAACAAAAGGGGCTGCCATGCATTTCAAAATGCTGCAACATATACTTAAAGTACATTGTACAAAAATAGATGATGCCACTTTGGACAAGTTTTTAAACAGTAGAAAACAATGGAAGCCCACCATGCTTCATTACAGATGTAACAAAATATATAAAAAACATTAAGTGACCACCCTTTATAAATACATATACTGTATAACTGATGTATATTCAGTATATAACACCTTTTTTTAGATATACCATACATCTACCCATTTCTTGGGTCTCTCCTGCTTCTTCAGGATGTGAATATCTCAACCTGTATGTAACAATTTTCATTACATTCACATTTGGGGTGCAATTTTGTGAACACTGTAGAGTTAAATCCTCAGGTTTTCTATTCTGTATATGTGTGAGCCCACATTCAAAACTTCCACAGACAGTTGGCTGGATGCCATTAAGTGGAAAAACTAAGATGTGTGTAGGTGGCCAGTAAACATTCCAAAATGTCCTCTCTCCTACCCATAGGGGAAATCTGAGTTGTCATCAGATTATACAAAGCACCAGAAAGGACCATTTACTGTCAGAATCTACACTGCATGGTATCTTTCATAGAAGGCTCCAAATAAAAGTGGTTCATGGTTAATTTTCATATACACTCCTCGGTCACTTTATTAGGTACACCTTGCTAGTGCCAAGAAAATATCCCCCATACCATTACACCGCCACCACCAGCCTGAACTGTTGATACAAGGCAGGATGGATCCATCCATTCATGTTGTTTATACCAAATTCTGACCCTACCACCTGAATGTCGTAGCTGAAATTGAGACTTATCAGACCTGGCAACATTTTTCCAATCTTCTATTATCCAATTTTGGTGAGCCTGTGCGAATTGTAGCCTCCGTTTCCTGTTCTTAGCTTACAGGAGTGGCACCCTATGTGGCCTTCTGCTGCTGTAGCCCACCTGCTTCAAGGTTCCACATGTTGTGCGTTCAGAGATAGTATTCTGCAAACCTTGGTTGTAATAAGGGGTTATTTGGGTTACTGTTGCCTTTCTATCATCTCGAAACTATACCCATTCTACTCTGACCTCTGACATCAACAAGGCATTTTCGTCCACACAGATGTCACTCACTGGATATTTTCCATTTTTTGAACCATTCTCTGTAAACCCTAGAGATGGTTATACATGAAAATCCCAGTAGATCAGCAGTTTTTTGAAACACTAAGACCAGCCGTCTGGCACCAACAACCAAGCAACGTTCAAAGTTCCTGCAGTACCAAAGTCACGTAAATCCCCATTCTGATGCTTGGTTTCAACTTCAGCAAGTCATCTTCACCATGCCTAGATGCCTAAATGTATTGAGTTGCTGCCATGTGATTGGATGATTGACAATTTGTGTTACCAAGCAATTGAGCAGGTGTACCTAATAAAGTGACCGGTGAGTGTACATTTTATTAATTAAATTTGGATTTTAGGCAAATTTAACTCCAAAGATCTACTTAGATTTGTGTATCAGCAGAAGAATAATAGTGGAGTTTCAGATTCTTGATGCCGGAGAAGCTAATCGGCCATTAAAATGGGCCCTTAGGGTTTACATGTACTTTAATTAAACTGCAAAAAACACCTGTTGAGTTATTGGCAGCAGTCAAAGGGATGAGCAAAGTGGCCCCAGTTTTGCAGTTTTAAATTCTGAGTGAATTGGTAAGCAGTTGATGAGAATGTAGACAAGGATGACAGAGAACTGTTGTTTGGTCACACTAGTACATGCACCACTAAACTGGAACATCGCCTTAGTCATTCATTTCTTATCTAATAACCCTTTTTTCCAGCAGTGACAGGAGATCGAAACAATAATTGTAAGATTAGTCAAATAATAATGGTGAGCTTTGTACCTGTTTTATGACTACAGAGAAAAGCCTTTTGTGGTTTCCTGTAGTTACTGGGTGATTTATCAAGCTGTCTCTGAGATCTGTTTCCGTTTCACCTCTATCTGACAGGCTTGTTTTCTGACCAAAGTTTATACAAAATTGCTTCTTTCTCATCCACCTTACACAACTTTAACTTGCAGCCCCGTCTTGTATATTCCGGAAGTTAGTTGAAAAGGATAATAATCAAACTTGTTTTTATATAATGACATGGCACCTCTACTTAGCATGAGTATATTGGCTGCTATATAATCATAGGTGGCATTGTTGAGGCCTGAGAACAGAAGTCCCAGCTGCAAGGAGATTGTAGCTAGAAGATCAGAAAACAATGGGCTGGTGTGTAATATTGATCTGTAAATGGATTTTTATTAAAGTGTTTCTAAACCCGTGACCTTGAATTCACAATATCCAGTCTTCCACAGTACACAGAACATGTAAATGCAATTATTTTAGTAAATATAAACTGCTAAATACCTGTACTTATTAACAGTATATATAGCAGTCTTGTGACTTCTATCAGTGTCCGGCCGAGCACTGGTTAATCTTCATTCTCCTTTGACTGTTCTATGGGGCTGCATGACCCCCGACCCTCTGTCTGGACTGTGCTGATTGGCCTGTACTGGTCACTTGTGCCAAAAAAAAATTTCTAGCAATACACACCAGAGTATGTGCAGACTTGCCACTGCTGCTCTGTACCATTACAGATGGATTGGGACAGTATAAGAACGTGAGAATCATAGAAGACAGGATCAAACAGCCTTTTTACACAATGCGGAGGATCAACCCCATTTTCCACAGTGAGTTTAACAAGCATGCTTTACTGCATATACAGACTGATTTTACTGTTGTGAGTTAGTAACACTTCAACAGATTCATGGATAGTAGGATATGTCCTAGGCAGGGGCGGACTGACAACTCATGGGGCCCCCGGGCAATAGGGGATCATGGGGCCCCTGTGTCCTTGCCCAAACTGAAAAAAGCCTATGAAAAAGGTACCAGGGGCATCTTATGGGGCCCCCTACTGACCCCGGGCCCTCGGGCAGTGCCCGAGTTTCCAAATGGTCAGTCCGCCCCTGGTCCTAGGGTTCGCTTACACTAGCGGTGCTCTTCCTAATTGTCCCCATTTCACTTATCCATAATTGTCACATACTGTACATTGCATTTTACTTGGTCATCTGCATTTGGATTGCTCATTATAGATCATTATAGAGCATTTGTCATGTGCTGAGGAGGTGTTGTATCACTTCCTCACTGCCTGCTTTAACCCCTTGATCCCTGCATTAGCATGCTTCAAATGCGTGCATTTGCAGAGTGGCCCCGTTCACTTGCGCAACCAGATTGGGATTGGGTACATCCCTGGTTGCTACCTCTGCTCTAAAGGGGGTAGCGGTAAATGCATGGTTCAACCACAGGTTTTTATCCCCTCCACAAGCTCACACATGAACAAGCCCTTTGAAAAACACCTTTCTTTCCTTGAATGTTATATCCTTTGCTATGCATATACGTCCTATGAGAACAATATAGAGTTACAAAGTCCTTTTTATTGTTAGGGTTATCAAATAACAGAACTAAAAGACTGATAACATGCAGTGTGCAATATGGGGATGCAGGTTTTTCTTCAAAACACATACTCACATGTCTAGCAAATCCAGTGTTGTTCTTCCACGATCTGCTGATCTTGTGTCACACGCCATTGTCTTCCCTTCCTACATCATTGGAAGCTGTTTGTCTCTGTTCTTGCTCCACTCACATTTTCGTTCACTTTTACTCTCCGTGATAATGGTTACCAGGACAAATGGAGAGAGTGAATTTCTCCAACCAAGACACCAAAAGCAAAAAAAAAATCTGACTAGTGCTCTAATTCTTCCACACAATTTTGGACTTTGTGGGACTTTGTGCCCATTGAGCCAAACAAGATTTTGAGTTTAGGCGCTCATATTGGATGAGAAGACTTGGGTTTGCAATTAGCATTCAAATTTATTATCCTGAATGTGTTCAATAATGTCAAAATCAGGGCTCTGTGCAGGCAATGTGATCTCCTCCACACCAAACTCATCAAACCATGTCCTTATGGAGCTGGCCATGTTCACAGAAGCACAGTCATGGTGGAACAGAAACAGCTTTCCTCAAGGTGTTACCGCAATATTGGAAGCACAAAATTGCCCATAATGGCTTTACATTTTGTAGCATTGACAGCACCCTTTACTAGAAACTCAGCTGTACAGGTGAAACTCGAAAAATTAGAATATCGTGCAAAAGTTAATTTATATCAGTAATGCAACTTAAAAGGTGAAACTAATATATGAGACAGACTCATTACATGCAAAGTAAGATAGTTCAAGCCGTGATTTGTCATAATTGTAATGATTATGGCTTACAGCTCATGAAAACCCCAAATCCACAATCTCAGAAAATTTGAATATTGTGAAAAGGTGCAATATTCTCAGCTCAAAGTGTCCCACTCTAATCAGCTAATTAAGCCATAACACCTGCAAAGGGTTCCTAAGCCTTTAAATGGTCTCTCAGTTTGGTTCAGTAGGAATCACAATCATGGGAAAGACTGCTGACCTGACATTGTGCAGAAAACCATCACTGACACCCTCCATAAGGAGGGAAAGCCTCAAAAGGTAATTGCAAAAGAAGTTGGATGTTCCAAAAGTGCTGTATCAAAGCACATTAATAGAAAGTTATGTGGAAGGGAAAAGTGTGGAAGAAAAAGGTGCACAAGCAGCAGGGATGACCGCAGCCTGGAGAGGATTGTCAGGAAAAGGCCATTCAAAAGTGTTGGGGACTTTCACAAGGAGTGGACTGAGGCTGAAATCAGTGCATCAAGAGCCACCACACACAGACAGATCCTGGACATGGGCTTCATATGTCCTATTCCTCTTGTCAAGCCTCTCCTGAACAACAAACAACGTCAGAAGCGTCTTACCTGGGCTAAAGAAAAACAGACCTGGTCTGTTGCTCAGTGGTCCAAAGTTCTCTTTTTTGATGAGAGCAACTTTTGCATTTCATTTGGAAACCAAGGACCCATAGTATGGAGGAAGAATGGAGAGGCACACACTGCAAGATGCTTGAAGTCCAGTGTGACGTTTCCACAGTCTGTGTTGATTTGGGGAGCCATGTCATCTGCTGGTGTTGGTCCACTGTGCGTCATTAAGTCAATGCAGCCGTCTACCAGGAGATTTTGGAGCACTTCATGCTTTCTTCCGCAGATGAGCTTTATGGGGACGCTGACTTCATTTTCCAGCAGGACTTGGCACCTGCCCACACTGCCAAAAACACCAAAACCTGGTTCAATGACCGTGGGATTACTGTGCTTGATTGTGCTGAACCCCACAGAGAATCTATGGGGCATTGCCAAGAGAAAGATGAGAGACCTGAGACCGAACAATGCAGAAGAGCTGAAGGCCGATATTGAAGCATCCTGGTCTTCCATAACACCTCAGCAGTGCCACAGGCTGATAGCTTCCATGCCATGCCCCATTGAGGCTGTAATTGCTGCAAAAGGGGCCCAAACCAAGTACTGAGTACATATGCATGCTTATACTTTTCAGAGGTCCGATATTGTTCTATGTACAATCCTTGTTTTATTGATTGCATGTAATATTCTAATTTTCTGAGATTGTGGATTTGGGGTTTTCATGAGCTGTAAGCCGTAATCATCACAATTATGACAAATCATGGCTTGAACTATCTTGCTTTGCATGTATTGAGTCTATCCCATATATTAGTTTCACCTTTTAAGTTGCATTACTGAAATAAATGAACTTTTGCACGATATTCTAATTTTTTCGAGTTTCACCTGTATATTGTTCTCTATTTTGCCTATTTTATTGTGTAAGTAGAGCTGCCCTAAAAAAAAAAGAGATATACTGTATCTATGTTTGTTTTTTCACTAACTAGAGTCTGCAGACAAAGCAATAACAATTTACATAAAACTAAATGTTCTCTTCCAAATAAGCAAGGAGTGTATAAACAGCATAGCTTAGGAACACATACTGCTAATACGTTAGCATATTAGATATGCAGCAAAGTACAGCTAGTCCTTCTCACATTTTTGTTCAACACATTATTAAAGTTATTTTGCAGCATGAATAATTCCCCACTGCTTTCAGGGTTACCATATATAACCCATCTCCAATGAAGAATGGATGGTGATGGGAAATATTCTCACTGTTGTAGGAATCCACTGTGACTCATGTTCTTGAATTAGCTGATGTTCTGCTGTAGTGCACACTTCTAGGCAGGTGCACTCTGGTTTTTTTCCACTTTTGGTTGCCCTCCTCCGAGTGGTACCACTGGGAAACATTTCTCTATGGATTCCTGGGTCAATGGAACAGTGTTCCGGTTGGCTATGCTGAGGCCATGTGACCCCTGACAGCCACCTTAGATCGGCAAGGTCTATTTAGGTCCTTGCACCCGGGGGTTGGCATGCATTTTGTGAGTGGCTTGTGTAGGAGTAGGGAGAGAGACCCCGCTTGCTAGGGAGAGATACTAGTGGTAGGGAAAGGTTACAGGCAAGAATAGACAGGCTAGGGACTCGCTATCTTGGAAAGGAGTCTCCTCTCATGGGACCGGACTGGACAGGCGCAGTTCACCCTCTCGCCCTCTTCTCTATCACATCTTTGACTGCATTGACTGTGAGTTAATTCCCTAAGCGATGCTCTCCTGCTAGGGTGTTGTAATGCTGGATTTCTGTTCAATAAAAATTTCAAGTTTACTGCAACTGGATTGTGCAATTACTGCCTGCACCATGCTGCACCTCCCCATACACTTGGAGAAATGCTTGCACTCTTTTCTGTGAACAAAAATTGCATATTTTTAAAAAGAGTCACAAAGCTTTTCTAACATGTTGTAAAATATATGTGTGTTTAGTATTTTGCTCTTAATCCAGGCACTGCTGTAGTTGTTCAGTCCACCCTGCTGTTGGCTGTAATATGGACAACTGAGACTCCCTGATTATGATGCAGGAGAGCTATTCTAAAACACACCCACTACATGTTCCCCACGGTCTCTCATTCTGGTGTAGAGAATTGTCAGAGCTGTTCCCTCTATATTACATGAAGTTTATAGGGAGGAAGTACACCCCCAGTGGCCCTGTAAGGTGCACCCTATAATCTTGCTGCATCGGATTACTCAAAGCTTTTAGTACTTACAGGATAGTATTAGTAGTTCATTAATAAGTTGTACATGTTGTCTAGAATTGCTTTTTAACTCTATTTGTCATTATTTTTCACTGTGGGGAAGTGAACTGATATAAGCCAATTGATTTCACTGATGGTGAAATTTCAACAAAGTAGAAAATCTCAGTATCGCTTATTAAGTTGCTTATTGAATGTTTGTTGCTTCTTCTTTATTTAAAGGATTTTGTATCCTTTTGGGGTACTTTTAGAGTAGTTAGTGTTCTGCATATATCTTTTGCTTTAATTTTTTATTTTAAAAATAGAAACTAAATAAGGTGGCTAACAAGGGGCCGCATCTTGGCACAATAACAGCTCCCAGATAGTTGTAAGGAGCTTCCCTAATAACCCTCAAGAACCACGTAAAGCCCATTGCACAACCAAAAACATTTGTGAAAGAATGGGTTGCTCTCGGGAACTCAGTGAATTCAAGCGTGGTACCTTGATAGGTTGCCACCTGTGCAATAAGTCCATTCATCAAATATCCTTGCTACTAAATATTCCACGTGCAACTGTTAGTGTTATTATAACAAAGTGGAAGCAACTGGGAACAACAACAACTCAGCCATGAAGTGGTAGGCCATGTAAAATGACAGAGCGGGGTCAGCGCATGCTGAAGTGCACAGTGCACAGAAGTCGCCAACTGTCTGCAGAGTCAATAGCTAAAGACCTCCAAACTTCGAGTGGTCTTTAGATAAGCACAACAACCGTGCATATAGAGCTTCATGGAATGGGTTTCCATGGCCGAGCAGCTGCATGCAAGCCTTACATCACCAAGTGCAATGCAAAGCATTGGATGCAGTGATGTAACGTACGCCTCCACTGGACTCAAAGTGATGAACGGGAGAATATCACCAGTACACCGAGGATCACCAATATTGGTCCAAAAGTTTTAATG